TCCCCCCCCCCCCCCCCCCCCCCCCCCCCCCCCCCCCCCCCCCACCCCCCCCCCCCCCCCCCAGCTTTTAACCGCATGCTTTCTCTTCAAATTCTGACCAACAAATCCTAAAGAATCTTTTTCCTTTGTTTCAGCCACTTTCAGCCCTATGAGATGTGCCATTACCTGGTCAATATTATGGACCTCTCATCAAGGCGTGACTTTAAAATATTTAGCTGTTGTAATCTAAAAGCTAGACTGCTAGAATGGCGTCAGTTTTTATTTCACAACTTCGCTAACCAAAGCATAGGATCATCATAGGCTTTAGCCAGTGCCAAAGAAATGGCCATCACATAGAATTTAAAATACCGGTGAAACAACACTGTTGCAAAAAAGTTTTAGCAAAATAGCTGATTCCAAAATGCAATATATGAAGAAGTCTGCAATTGAAAAACACAACATTAAATACATATTGTATTTTGGAGGATTTAATTTCATGACAGGATAAATTATCGCACTTCAAAACCGCAACATCCATGATTGTCATGATTAGGCTATTTCACCAATTCTTCTTCAAAATATACTATTCTACCAATATTTTATTTTACTTTGCTAATTTAAAAAAATCCAAAGAAATCACAATGAAAGTAAGACTAAAAACCGTTCCATCATGCAGCAGAATTCATGTCAGCCCCAAAAATGGCTGGCTCATAAGTATTGAAATGACAGCAAAAATGTTGAGATCCATGGCCTTGTAAAAGTTTTTTACCAACTGCTTGACAGCTAGCCCATAATTACCGAGTCCCTCCTGTAGTCAATATTAGGTTTAATAGGTGTAAGCACCACATGCTCCAAAATTCTTCAGTTCCTCTAACTTAATTTTGAGACACAAAAACATGTTAGAGTTGCAAGGGTGAAGTAGCCATCACCAACTATCACTATCAACAGAATCAAAAACTAAATTTATTAATAAGTTCCATCACATATATTAGTTTTTCCCTGTACTGAATAAATAAGGAAATAATGCATGTCTGTACAACAAATCAATACTCCAAAAATGTTATGTGCAAAAACAATAAATTGATTTGGAGTTTCTAAGAGGAGAAACTCATCTGCAGCAGAGAGAGATCTACAAGAATGCACAGGTCATTAATTCATCTTCGTAGAGTAGGGAGAAAATCCAACATAGAATGATCATCACAATCACATCGTGCAGCTTTTATCAATGCCTAGATTCACAGCCTGGAACAACATAATAATTGCATTAATGATTTGAAAGCAAAAAAATGGTCCTCCAATCAATTCTTAAACCAAACAGAAAATTAACCGATTCTCAGTGTCAATTGGTGATGTAGAGATGATAGAACTCAACATGCCTTAGTAATTCATTGCTACAGAAAAAAAAAATGCTTGCAAGTGATATTATTGGACAGTGAACTTCATTTGTGAAGTGGTTATTACAGGTGACACTTCTCCCAACAGATCCCACCACTGGGAAAATAGTAAACAAGTAGGGAGTTTCTACAGGAGACCCACTATGAAAAAAGCCCATTAAAGATTATCTATGCCCAGCTAGAGGCTCACTTTTTAAGTCATCGGCAGACTGGATACATTATTTTGGGTAGTGAAGAAAATTCACACTTCTCTTCAAGCTTATCCCCCACCTCCCTTGTCCCAAAAACACATCCACCCACCTCCACACTGATATATAACTGATAGTCCATTTAATTTAGCGAACCACACTCTGCTTATATTGCCAAGTACACCACCGGAACTGTAATCTACTGGATTCAAGATTACTGCTCAGGTTAAGACAAGGACTCACTAATCACAGATATGAAATGTGTTATAATTATATCAGTTATTACAAAAATGGCAGAGGCATTTTTAACATGAGATTTTCTGAGACACTCTAGCACAAAGTTGACAGCTTCATACATAGGTGAACTTCAGCTTTCAGTTCTTTTTATTTATAAAGAAAACATTGTCTGGAAACAAATTATGGTAGCATGAAGCAAATGAAATAGCATTAATGAGCAAACAAGTCAAATGTTTAATCCATTTACAAAGCTATAATCATATTCCAGGTTTTGATTCAAAGCAGATACAAGAATAAAAGAATGTGGGTATAAATGTATGCTACATCGTAAAAACACCTCTGAATTATAGGTTGTTATGAATAACACCACCTTATTATTATTATTATTTAAGAGGCCAAGCTATAAGATGTTTACCCCTTCTATAGATTCCATCCAATTTTGCCATCAAAAGTCACATGCAGCATGTTTTTCCAAACAATCACAAAGAAGTCATAAAAAACAATAGAGGGTTGATTCTTGATGATAATTCATCATACTGTAAGACACAGTTTTATCATAATATTGGTCGAGGTTGATTCATTAAGGATTTTTTAAAGATATTTTGAGATTTTATAAGAAAACATGTGCAACCCGAGTTATTCAACGGAAAAAAATGGGTAGGAGTGTCGGTCAAGACAGCCAACAATTCAGAGAATAAAATCAGCAAAAACAAAAAAATGATAATTCAAGAGTGTCAACCAAAAAGAGCTGTGTGAAATACCAATTAACCGATAAATGTATGTATATATGTGTTAATAGTGTTCATAGGTATATCTCCAAACCTTTTACTTTTTTCCTTTTGCCACTGGGAAATGTGCACATAGGCAACCCTTCCCGGTTGCTTGTCCTGAAATCCAGACTTCATCCTCTAATAGCACTTGGAACCAAGGGATATACCATTGTGCCTTAATGAAATGCATAAAACATTGTCTTGTTTTCCAGCTAGCTCACATATCAACTTCCCATCTCTAAGCTAGATTCACACGATACACACTTCAGGTATTACATGTAACATTCTAAGCTATTATAGATCCCAACATTAGTTCATTAAACAGACAAAGATGCCAAGGAAAAATGGTAAAGTGGTTGATAAGTGATGGAAGCACTATAAAATATTCAACACTAAGTGATCAGTGATTAGAAACATACAATTGAAGATAAACCGTGCCAATGTTCACTGCTGCTGGTCTGCACCCAATCTCATCAGAACACCAAACAAATCTTTCAAGCAGCAGTTTATGAACAAACCCAGCTCTTCCAAACGCATCAAACTACAAGAAAAAAAAACGAATTGCTAAATTCTCTGTTGCTAGAAGATAAAACAAAACAGCTAAATAAAATTTCCACATTCCAGTTTTGAAAGGAAAATTAGTAGATTAAGAAATCATTCCAGGTGAAGGGACAAAAAGGAGAGAAGCTAAATCAAACCAATTTAGTTGAATGAAATATATATGCATTGAAAATAAATAACATACCTATATTCTGATCCTGTCAGCCATAAAAGGTGAGAGACAACTCTAAAATACAGCCTACAAAATATTGAACATAAACTATAAGAGATAGGAAGGCAATGAACAAAATTCATGTCTTGTCACAATAAATAATAAAAATGACACTCACCACAATTGGCATCTCAGAATACTTCCTAATTCAATGATCCACGACACCTGAACAAAAATTTTTTGTTGAATTTGATGCAGGATCAAACAAAAACAGTGCAAACAAGATAACAAAAGATAAAATTCATCCACAGCCACTTACTTCCTAGAACCACAGTTGCAAGGTATCTTTTTATCCTCCAGAGGAAATTTGTAATTGTAAGTAATTTCTTCACCAGCAGCTATATAACGTTTTGCATAAATGAAAATTTTTTTATGACCTTCAACACTTATAACCTTGGTGTAGCAGTTCGGCTATAAAAGAAAGTCAATTCAATTATAAGAACCAAGAAATAACATCAATTTCAGTAAATGGAATCATTTGCATGATAATCTATGTACCTACCTCGCAAGAATGGTTTATAAATCTTGCAATCCCACCACGTTTTGTGGCATCAACCTACACAATTTAGGAAGGGCATACAAATGTAACATGCTTGCGCTCACAGCTTATAACAAACATCATAAAATAAAATGCAATGGTGATAAACGCAGGTCAGTTGCCCTCCAATCCCAATATCAACTTTGTGGTTTGCATACAAGTATATAATTCAATAGAAGGACCACATACCAGAAATAAATTGAAGCACAATTTTGCTACAGTAAAATAACACCAAAACATGCCTTGCAAAGAGACCATCCAACACCAATCAGGATTTCAAATTTGCAATCAACAGTGGAGATTAAAAAATAAGGAAGGAAATGGTGAAAAGGTTCTGGGCATCCATATGTACAGAGTTGAGACACCAGAAAAACAAACCCACCCTAAACACAAGCCCAGACAGCAGTCCATGTATATGAGCACTGATGGGGAGAAAAACAAAGCTAAAGGAAAACTCTGGGGTTGAGCAGATTAGGGATAAGGGGAAAGAGGGCCTTAAACAAAATAATGAACTTGAAATTTGGTAGCAAAAAATGCAGACATGACATAACATTGATCTACTCACCACATAACCATCATCAAGTCTAAAGAGATAACTGCTGCCAATTCCCATCTTCTCATAAAGTCTTTCACGTATATCAGATATCTGTGTAAAGTATAAACACAATAAAAGGGCATCAATGAAATGAGAAAAAAATAGCAAAAGAGAATGAATAATTAAAAGCTTGTAGCAATGGGGGAAAGGTTTAGGAATTACAGCTATATAATGTAACACACTGCAACCAGCATATAAACTTACTTGTGGACGAATCAGTTCACCGACATATTCAATAACAAAGTCCTCAGCCTCAATTGATTCTAGAGCAACAAGACCCCAGTCATGTATCTTGCTTCGCTGGAAACATAAACGCTTTTTTCTTGCCTAAAAAGAAATGTGCAATAATTATTATTTGACGAAACATAAAATTAGCAGTTCCTAGACAAGCTTCATTTTTCAATCACCTTCAACTGTGTTGCTTTCAAAAGGTCAACACCTTCTGCAGCAGCAAGAAGATTGCGAAGCTTCACCCTGTTAGTCCTCGCAGAAAGGACCTTGCCATTTGACAGCTGAGATGCATATGCCTCTGAACCTGAATACTTGGCATGAATGCACCGCACTCCCCTAACACGAGCTCTTTCAGCAGGACTAGCTTTAACTGACCATGCATGCCATTCCCAACCATTAATTGAAGACCGTGCACAACCATCAGATCTAGGGCAGGGAATTAACATCCTGGATTTACTTGACTTTGTCTTCCGTGCTGTAAACTGTCCAGTTGCTGTTTGCTTATTAGCACCATTTTCTACTTGAAGAATCTTCATAGGATGTGACACAGATCCACCATTTACTGTGCTTTTCCTTTTCAACTTCGAAACCTTGGTTGCTGTACATAAGAAAACATGATCAGACTTTGTCTTCCGTGCCATAACCTGTCCAGTTGCTGCGTGCTTGTTAGCACCAATTTCTACTTTAAGAATCTTCATTGGGTGTGACACAGATCCACCATCTACTGTGCTTTTCCTTTTTGAATTTGACACCTTTGTTGCTGTACACAAGAAAACACAATCAACAAGAAATAAAGAAATAAAAGGTTTTATGCTCACCAAAACAACATCACATCATTTCTTACAGTTTAAAGGCTTCTTAGAACATTCAGTAGTCCCTGATTTCTTAATTCCAGCATCAAGGCCATTGCAATCAATAAGCCCGACCATATCCCTAGAAGTCTTTATGGAATCTTTGGCATCTTTATCATCTGGATATTAAAGAGTAAATAGGTAATGGAAAAATTACATGACTTCATGGTTATAACATTTACAAAGAAATAGAAAATTATAAGTAAAAAAGCAATACCATTAACTGCTCGTGCAGTCTTCATTACTTTCCGACGACTAATATTTTTGGGCAATGATTGATCCTTTTTTAAGGTGCTTTTGACAGTGGCTTTCAAAGGCCTAGCATTAACAGATGATTCAGCAATAGTGGCTTTCAAAGGCCTAGCATTAACAGATGATTCAGCATTAGTGGCTTTCAAAGACTTAGCATCAACAGATGAAGCCTGGCCCTTCTTCTTAGGAGTCTTTACATGTTGAATCACTACATTCTCAGAAACATCGCTAAGAACATCCTGCTTTCTTGACTTCTCTACAGGCTGTTTCAGTGATCCAGAATCAACTGTAGTAGTAGAATGAGAAGATGAGCCCAACTTCTTTCCCGCCAACTTTCTCTTCCGATGATATGTGTATTTACCTGAAACCAATGACAGTACTGAAGAGTCTGGGCTGTGAAATTTGTTCGACCCCTCTGTGAATTTGAATGCTCCTTCCTAAAATTTTTACAACAGAATTAAGCATTAATTCAAACATTAAAATGCAACCAACAACTATGTGTAGATGTAAAACTGAATTATTCACCTAATGAAAGAAAAGTTAAAATTAATAAATCCATACCTCATGGATACCAGGTTCGGTATGCTTTTCTGAAGAACAGCATAATCTAGGAGATCGATGAAGAATTTCATCAACAAAGATTGATTTCCAAACACTAAGCACGTCATCATGCAGCTTCTGCATGCACATGGCAATGGTGACACAGGCTCCAACCTTGGGAGTTAATTCAAGTGATTTTGAAGATCGGAATTTATTTATTGCGGAAGGGAATAGAGCAGTATCTTTGACTCCAGGTGGTGGTGGCCCGTCAATGTTTTCATCATCAATTGCATTGACAACAGATGGATGTAATCTTTCAAAAGCAATTGCCAGAAAATTGGATATTTCATTCTCAGATTGAAATGGAAAAAAAGATTTTTGCACTTGTAGTGAGCTTTGAGGGTTGCTGGAAAACCTTATCTCAGCAGGAATTTGGTTTGAATCAATCATCTGCTCATCTTTCATTTCTATAGAACCATACTCACTTGCCTGGATGGATGGAATAGAAAAGTCAACAATTTCCTGCAGCAGAAGAAAAGAGCATCACCAATAGAGATAAAGCTCCAAATTGACAGCCACAGTCAACTTCCTTTTATTTTCTTTAGCAGCAATGGGAAAAGGTAAAGAAAGCACAATAATCTTACAATTACCTCATTTAATCTCTTATCCTCTGAAAAATCAACTAATTTCTTCACTTTCTCTTTCACAAGCATTTCAACATACTCTAACAAAGACACCTTTGTGGACTTATGCAGCTCATATGCTACGCTTTCTAAGATGCATTTCATGTCATCATCTGGACAATCTTTAAATGATAGGCTATTCTGTTCGCAAGGCTCCTGCCCCACATGTGCACATGAAGATGTAATGGATGATGGCACAGTATGATCTGATTTAGTTTTGTGAAGCTCAAAACCAGGAGGGCAGTCGACACTGCTAGCAGGAGATTCTTGGCCAGAAAAACACTGTAAAACCATTTAAAACTCTAATTCAGCAATTTTCTGTACATGGAACAAGGAAAAAAGAACTCTGAATAAACTCCCTACATACAGTTTCACTGGGTAATTCTTCAATCTTCATGCACAAATATGGATGATGGAACCAAAGTTTGCTCTTTCTCCAGGAAATTGTATACTCTGCTATGGTATCATAAAAGACAGCATTCCACATAACCTCCATGCAATAATCAGAAAGACATCTACAAATAACAGCGTAAGACCCCCAGAAATCATCAGCATTTCCAACACATTTTGTACTTCTGGGTAATTGCATGGACAGCTCATCAGCACATGTCTGATCAGAGATATAATTGCAGGAAGCAGCATCACACTCAGGAGTAGAAAAAATCATCCTCTCACTGGCAGATTGAGACTAAAAAAAATATGAAGATGTTAGTGAGATTAAGGTATGAAGAGGCACGAAGAAATTCAAGCATGTGTAAAATCCCTAGAATTTCTAAGCAATACCATTTTACCATCCACAGAACAAGTTTTGGCAGCCTGATTATCAAGCATAATATATCTCTCTGCTCTCTTTGTGCGAACAAACTCTGAAATGACATTGCAAATTATCTCATCTAATGCAAATCTACGAGCAGCTTTCAATATTCCAGAGTGCAATTGACAGGAAACTTCTTCAGAAATTACAGATATGAAACTCTGAGATGAGCCAGTTTCAGTGTTGGCATCGGTCATGGAGAAAGATTCAGGTTTATCCAATCTCCAAGCATTCATAATAGATAGCAGAGGAAGGGGTCTAAACTTATTCTGAGCATGATATATCTGCCAAATGAGATGCATGGTGAAGGTTAAAATACAAGTAAAACTATGTTATGTGGTGAGAAGCACAGTTCAACAGTCTGAGACAACTGCTTACCGTTAATGAATCTTTAAGATACCCGTACTGATACCAAGAATAAAGCTCCAGAAGAGAATGTGGCCCACGCTTCCTCCCATCATCATCCTTGAATAACCAACAGGAATCTTCACCTGACTGGAAAAAAAAAAGAACAGAGGCATTTTCAGATGTGGAAGTGAGCTGAATAAGAACAGGGAGGGAAAGATATAGGAGAGACGTATGACCCCACAACCATCTGGAAAAAATAAAAGCATTGCAGTACCACAAGTGAAATTGGTGTGGCATAGTCGGCTGCTTCAGAGTTGGAGATTGGTTCGTTGGAGCTGTAAGTATGGTTATGAACACGGGAATCAGATATGGATTCTATATCTGGATGAGCAGAGACAGGAGCAGCATACTGAACGCCTTCTTGCCTATGTGCTGCCAAATCTGTAGAGTGATTTGCAGGCATAGTTGTGCCTGAAGTACCCAAACAAAGATATATAAAACCAGTGGAAACATGATCAGGAAACTGCTTGAAGTAGTTGAGAGGCACGGGATTGATCAATATCCCATTTGCAATGGGATACACAGGAAGATCCTCAGGGAGGAAACCAGTAGATAATCCCTCGTAAAGCTGTTGCTGGATGTAAGGACCACACATTTGTCCATTTTCATTAAGGTACATCCATCCACTAACAAAAGCAGGTGGTGAGTGGCCAGAACAATTCTCTCCCCCGTATGAAGCCCCGCCAGTATTCGGCATACCTTCACTATTTCCATTGGACTTGCAACTCATCTCTGGTATGGAACTAGAACTAAATATTTTCATCATCAATGAAGCAGCAACAAGGCAGAGAGGTTGGAGCGGCATTAAGTAGCGTAGACAGGGTTAGATAAAGAAAAATCAAGAAAGAGAAAAAAAGAAAGAGATTGGAAGAGGTAGGGGAGAATTGTAATACCCATCGAATGAGCATTCTTCTGCGCTACTCATCACCATGAATGTGTCGTCATCACAGTTACCAGTGGAGATATATGCATCTTGTTGTTCTTGGTGCTGAAAATCTGAAATCTTCAACCTCTTTCTAGAGGAGAAAGAAAAATAATCATCTTCTTCCTGAAAGCAGGGTGTTGAGGAGACCATGTTCTCCGTTGACCTCCCCTCGCCTGGATTAGGAAAAAAAACTAATCAGTTTAGACAATACAAATTGATCCCAAAAAAAGAACGAAAACGGATCGATGATCAGCGATCCAGCGTGCAATTAAAAATTAATTAGGGTTTAAAACTGAAATTGTACACGGAGAACGACCGAAAGAACACGAAAAGTATTGTGTGCTCTGACGATCGTAATTCTTGATCTTCGTGAAAAACAAAATCATCTCCTAACGTAATCTAATAATGACCGAAAGAATCGTCGACACACGAAAGATAAAAAATCTAATTAAGCTTAAGCCGGCGGGAGGTTTACCTGGCGGTGCTGCCGTGGCTCCAAGGCGATTAGGGTTAAGCGACCGGGTGATAAAGAGGATCTTCTCAATCACACACGCCGGCTTTAGGCTCTAGCAACAGCAGCCAGCCTTTTATTTATTTATTTTTTCTTTATTACTGTTATTATCACAGACTTTGCATCAGTCCAGCTCCAACTTCCGTATTTATATTTCTTTATTGGCGTCGTCAAGCCATGGTTTTTTATTTTTTATTTTTTATTTTTTCTCTTTTCTTTAAGAATTACTAGTTTGATAGCCCTCGAGGACATTGCAGTCCCCTGAAATTTTATTTTAATTATTTTATTTAAAAATAAATAAATTTTAAAATATTAAAAAATAAAATAAAATAATACAAGAAATTGAGAAGATTCGGTCAAGGCAAGTTCAGACACGCATGCTATGCTAACTAAAAAAATTTTATAGCTATACATATGTGTGTGTTTGTTTTAACATATTTATATAATTTTAAAAATTTAAATATATATATTTATGTAATTAAATAAATTAAAAATTATGTATATTAATAAATAAATAAATAAATATTAATTAAAAATTAAAATAAAATTAAAAAAATAAAGAAAAAGTTGTAAATTAAGATATTGATTTTTGAAAAATAAAATATGTTTTTAGTTAGGTTTGCTGAATTTGTTTATTGAAATATTTTTTTATTTAATTAAATAATAATAAAAACAGAAAAATAAATTAAATTAATTGAATAAAATAAAAAAAATACCATGAAAAGTTGCATGTATTAGAAATATCATCTAAGAATAATTTTTTATTTTCAAAACAAAGGTTTGTTCATATAAAAGATAAAAAAAAATATAGATAAATCAAAAATACTTTTCAAGTTTAAATACATAATTAAAAAAATTAATTTTTATTTAAAATAGATTTTTCCAAATAAAATGAAAAAGAAGGAGGACACTAATTTAAATATAAATTAAAAAGATAGAGAAAAAAATAAAAAAATTATTAATTAAAAAATAAAAAAAATGCACTAATAGGCCTAGCCCATTTTGTCATGGCTCAGGCAACTAAGCACTTAATTATTATTATTATTATTTTGGCAACCAAGTCCACCCTAAATATTTTTGAAAAAAACCTTGAACTACAAATAATGCATTATTTAATTTGCCCGAATTCATTGGCTAAAAAAATGAGCCTTAAAAAAAAATTACTTGAAAATCCATTTTTTAACTTTCTTTTGACCAAAAACACCAATAAAAACATTGTAGAAACTATAACAAACTTATCTATGATATTAAAAAACCACCATAAAAAACAAAATAAAAAACAAGTGTCAACGACGCTTTTTTCTCTTTACTATCAAAATACAATGACCTCTCTCAACTAAAGACTAAAAAATAACAAAAATAAATATTTATAGCAAAATTAATCTGGAAAAATATTAAGGTACTAAAATTGTATAATTTTCTCAATTTTTAAAGTTCAAGGGCCAAAGTGTTGGCACGTAACCCATGTTTGGTGTCGTCTTTTTCATCTCGATCTGTTTTCTTTTAATTTCATCATTTCATAAGAAATTAAAAGCAATCAATCTTTATACATAACTGTAGTATCAAGATAAAAAAAAAAGTTCTAAAACCAAATTAAAAAACAAATTTTTTTGTACAACTCATCCACGATAATGTGTAAAACGATTATTAGTCTTGCATGGTGATGGCCCATGCTTTTTACCGTTATACTTAATAATATTATAAAATCATTTGTTTAAAAAGATACATGTTTTGGCTTTATTAATATATTGTTTGTTTTTTATTGTCCTTGAAAAAATTTAAATTTTTTATCCAAATTATTTTTTTATAATTTTAAAGTGTTCATATTAAAAATAAATTTTAAAAAATAAATAAAAATATTATTTTAATATATTTCCAAACTAAAAATACTTTGTAAAATAATCACCATTATAATCTTATATACTGTATACATAAAACCCTATCAATGTAACTAAAAACCATCGCTCGGTGAATACCTTAATTTCTTTTGTTTAGTGTACGATATTTGAGCACTAGGCCAATTCTTATTCGCACGACGTATTATAAAAGACTAGTTATGTGACTCATGTTTCGCCACAGGTCAAATAATCAAAAAAAATTAAAAGAGCTCCTGAACAAAATAAAAAGATGATGTTTTGTCTATTTTTTTAGTTTCTGGTTTTTTAACCCGTCATATCACTTTATTTTGTATTTAAAAAATACAAAAAAAAAAACAAAGGGTCTAAGGTAGGAGAAAAAACACATTTGAAAAGAAAAAAAAAGATCCCTTCTGAATTTTCATCGAATCACTTAAGTTTTGGTCAATTATAAACTTAGATTTTGAATGAAATAGATCCACCCAACGCTGCTAGACTTGGCCTTCTAGCAGTACCCAAAGCATTGAGTTATGCTTTGGGCATAGCCTAGGTTATTAGGTCCTGGTTAGAAAAGAGTCCAAAGATATTAAGTTGTAGTAGTAAAAAGGCCGAATTAGGTGTTAGGTCATTATGGTAAGCAAGGTCCAAAGCTGTTGCATCCTAGTAGCAGAAGGACCTAATTAAGTGTTAGGTTATGGTAGGTAGGAAGCAGCGCCCAAAGCTGTTAAGTCCTGGTTCTAAGGTCCAATGTTGTTAGGTCTTGGTGAGGTGGGAGACATTGTCCATCACCCTTAAATCCTAGCTATTGGGTGGTGGTGTGTGGGAGGTTATTATTGTTATTACTGCTTTGGATCCAGGACTCGACAGGACCCAACACCCACTTAAGTTCATTATCGACAGGATCCAATGCTATGTTGGGTCCTGCACATATTAAGATATAAAGCAATGCTGACCAAGAGTTATTATAGGTCATGCACCCGGCAAGACCAAACACTTACATGGATCTTGCAGCCGGTGAAAATCAGAGCTATAAAATACTAAAAAAAATGAAATTCATTCTTCGATATAATCCACTGAAAAAAAGAGGTTCACAATGTAGTTTTTTCCATTGCAATAAAGTTACATGGTGTCTATTTCGTTGATAAAAGGTATTAAATGGGCTTTCCTTGGTATCATGTTCACCCAAAATAAAATCTCTTATATAATACCAAAAATTTATAAAGTATATAATGCGAATAAAAAAATTATCGACTTCAACTTTAATATGAAAATATTAAAAAATTCTTTACCCAGCCAAACATAATCTCAATATTTTTTAAAAAATATATAAAAACATGGAAAAAATATTATTTTAAAGCAAAAAAATATTAAAATATTAAAATTTCACAATTCCAACATTTTTAAAAAAATAAATTACAAAAAACTAAAAAGAAAATTAATTTGAATTAAAGAAAAAAATAAAAAAATTTAAAAAAAATAAATAACTTTTTAAACAAAAAAATCAAACATGATACAATTAATTTGAAGTAAAGAAAAAAATATTAAATGAATATTAATTTGAAGTAAAGTAAAAAATAAATAAAAATCCAATTTCTTGAGTCTCATCTGTTAACTAGACACAATATCAATATATGTTTTTTTTTTCAAATATATTTAAAAAGTAATACAAAAACATGAAGAAAATATTATTTTGAAGTAAATAGAAAAATTTAAAAATTTAAAATTTATTTTAAAATAAAAAAACATAACAAAAATATTAATTTGAAGAAAAGAAAAAAACTTAAAAATTGTTAATTCTTTTCAAATAACTTTCAAAATGCAAGATCAAATATGATTTAATTAGGAAATTCAACCTAACTTAAAACCAAAAAAAAAATATCATCACCTAACTTTTATACAGTATAAAAAAAAATCTCTTCAATTTATTTTAAAAAGTAAAATTAAATCAAAGAAGGCAACGACAATGAAATTTAATTGGGTATGGTTGATAGGTCTGGAAGCTAGTCATGTGATGCAACCATATTATTTGATAGTTTCACCCATATTTAACTGGTGTTTTGCCTATGTTTTATGTATAAAGTGCCTTTATATTCTTTATTTTATGTTTTGAAGATATTTTTAGATGAAAGATGCAAAAGGAAGTAAATTGGAGGTAATTGGTAGATTTGACCTTTAGTTGATGTTTATGTAGAGTGTGAGTTCTAGAGGTCAAGATTAAGTGATTCTAGTGGAATTAAAAAGCTAACATCCGTACCTTTTTGGAAATTTAACACAAGAAAAATAGAATAAGAAAGAGCATGGAAATCACAGCTTTCAAAGTCAAATCTCGTAATTTGCTAGTGTTGCCCTTCGGCCATTCAAAATTAAATATCTGGAGCTGCACATGTCCAATTGATGTAAACTTAATTTTGTTGGATTCATAACTTAAAGAACTATCAACATTCCAAATTTAAGCTAAAAACGGTTCATATGAGGACTATGTGATTTTTCAAAAATGACAGCTGAATTCTACCAAACAATGGTGGGTTGTTAGTGGCAGCTGAATATTGTCAAAAGAAGATACACCAATAATTGACAAAAGATTGCCACTATTGTTGATAAGTGCAGGAGGAGCAACCATTGAAGCCTATAAATAAAGGCATCATTTGAAGAAAAAAATATAGCCAAGAGAGAGGGGGAGAGAGTGCAGTAGAATCAAAGAAAGGAGGCAGCAGCCAGAAGTGAAGAAACACAAACTCTCCTCTTTACATACCATAAATAATGCTTTCTTCTATCTTTAGGAGTAGTTGTTCAATAGATATACAAAGCTAAACTTGTTTTCTTGGTTGCAAGGACTCAAAAACATTCAAACTTCAAGAACTGTAAGATTTATTCTTCCATTTATTTTCAGTTTGTATTATGAATGAGTATGTTTGTTTTTCTATGCATATTTTCTATGATTATTATTGATAATTGCTAGAGCGGACTCTAAGTTATTATTGTGAACGATCTATTGCTAAGTTTGATAGCAAAACTGAAGTTATGGTATATAAACTTGTAAAGCAACTAAACTTGATAATTATGGCAGAACTAGGTTATTAAACTTAGAGAAAACATTCGATTAAAGCAACACAAGGAGACAACTTGGTTGTTAAGATTAATATATTTATCTAGATCTTAAGGCTGCCATTATATTAAATCATTAATGCGGACACTGTGATTATATGTTGGGTATGGTTAGTTATACGGCGGATCCGTTAATTAACCAACATTAAGAAAAGATAAAAATTTAAAATATAAACTGGAGTTTTATTTCAAGGATCAGTTCTGATTTCTATAGGTGGACGTATGCTTGTGA